GCCGAGCGACGACGGTCCTTACTGATTGCGACGAAAAAATCTGACAAAAGAAACAAATTTTCCGGTATTTTTTTCTTCTTCGTATCTTCTCCGTCAAAAACTAGAAATCAAATACTATACATAATATATTATATACAAATAACAATAACGCCAATTATAGCGTACGCTTTTGTTTTTCGATCTTCATCATCATTCGGTATATATAGACTTAGATATTATTTTACACGAGTGTGTTATTGTTGGTGCTTAAGGTTCGCACTATATAATAATTATGTACAAAAGACGACGAGTGCGTACTATACAGTATACTCTATGTAAGTACACGACGATGACAATGACGAATAACAAACAGCGGTGGTGGCGGCGGCGGCGGCGGTGGTGGTTGCGGTTAAATACAACAACAACCGCGTAGTGTACCGATTAGTATATATTAGTTATACATATAAATATATACACACGGTGAGGGGGTGATAGGGCGAAAGAGAGCTTCGGTCGAGGGCGAGGGGGTGGAGAGACGAAAACTTTCCGAGGCGGCGCGTACGCGTAATATGTATATAATATATATATATAGCCTCTTCCGTTCGGTCGTTAATTAATTACTCGCAGGAAAAGAGCGGTCGATCGATACCGCTTGTGTGCCGCGCGGGTGTGTGTGTGTGTGCGTTCGTATATACCGAATAATATTACGGGCGCGGGGCCAAAGAGAATTTTAAACACCCGTCTCCCGCCCCCCGTCCGCTCCTCGTCCCGCCGCCGCGGCCGGTAACGCGAATCCCTCCGGAACACTGCACGAGAGCGCATCGCACAAACAACCGTACACGATACTTATACACATATATATATATGTATGTATAGTATATTATACGCGTGTACGTCCAAGTACGCGATTTATAGTATACGCGTGTATAATACAGATATATATCGGTAGGTAGGTCAGGTGTATAATATATATAGGTACCAGCCATATACCGTGCGTATAATGGGCCGTGGCAGCGACCGCAGTGCGTGTTCGAGACGCGGCGGCGGCGCGTCCCGCGGAAACGTATTTCTCCGCGGTACGAGCGCGAGTCTGTGCGGTACGTGTGTGTGTGTGTGTGTATGTGCGGTGCGTGTGTGGTGCGTGTGTGGTGCGTTTGTATGTGTGTGTGGTGCAGACCAGTGGTATACTACAATATTAATGTTATGTTATTTGTTGTTATACACTTCGTATATTATAATCATTAGAAACAAAAGCGCGGTCTTTGGATGACAATAAAGCGTGTATGGATAACACAGTGCTATATTATATTTATATATAATGATGAACGACTAACGAGTAGAATTATTTTCATCAAAGAAAACGTATATAACAAAGGGTATAATTATTGTACATATTATAAACGGCTAATATAATATTATAACATTTGACAATCTGGGGATACTTAATGGCTATAAGGGTGAGAGACACCCTCGTGTGAAGCCTGTGGCATCATGGGATGATAATAAAAGTCAATACACATCATCCTAATTTCTAACCGAATGTCCCGTCAGGACCGACTCAACCTCGACATTTCCGAAAACCTCAACTACTCATCCCTCGGGGCTATACCACCAAACCCTTCAGATCAAAACAATTTAATCAAACAATTTATACAATGCAATTTAAAGATGCAATACCTACCCATTTAAACCAAATGAAAATCATTCCACTGTTTTTTTCTTATTTTTAGTAACTATACCTACTATTTTACTGTAACATATTATCCATAACATTTCATTAAAATAATTTGTAATTTCAATAATGTGACTATTATGCATGGTCATTGTCACCAAACTCGTGAAAAAAAGAGATTAAAAAGAAACAAAAATTTGACCATCATATTATAGACAATGTATTGTCTGCTGGACCGCGATGGGCGCATAACACGATATTAATCATATTTTGTGCACTGGCATTTTAAAAATTATTTTCAGTAGGTAAAAATTCTTTACCCGAAAATCTGAGGTTTGCGGGTGAAGCTGCATGTTCGGTTGGCGTGCTATATTATACTCGTCTCGTATAATGTAATAATATATAATGGGTAGGTAGGTATTGTGATACATATATTATATTATTATTATTGTGTCGGTGCGATTTATAGTAATTATTCGTCGTCGAAAAAGAAGCGTGTGTAGGTACTACGTGCGTATATTACATTATAACATAACGACGTCGTTAGCGCCCGTTTAACCGCGCCGTGATGGGACTTGACAGCGGTTGCGGTACCGATATACGCGCGCATAAGAATATTTTTACATAAAAACGCGGTGGAATATATTTGGCGTGTTATAAATTATAATAATAATAATAATATATTCGTATACCGACGCGAAACCGCTTTACTTACACACGGCCAAAACGGCGATTTATCACGAGGCGCAGTTGTGCATATATGTACACATATTATACGCGTATATGAGGTAGGAAGGTGGACACATGTGACTATACGGTCGACCAGCTATATGTACTATGTATCATAGTACCTACCTATGTAATATAAATATTAATTCCAATAATATGGACCGTGTGATAACAATATAATAGTTGTGTGCTGTTGCAGGTGTCTGTGATTTTAACACCGAGTTTGTTTGAATAGGTACATGAACATAATATATATATATGTGTTTAAACGGAGATTATAATATTATGACGACGACGACGACGACGACGACTTACCCTTATATTGTGTAAACTCGAGCACCTATACATTACAATATAATACAATATATACACATTACACAATGTAATAAGCCCGTATATGGGTGCGTCGGTACATAACCTAGGTACCTTTAACCAATGCCGGCTCTCTTGTACATAGGTATATACTATATAGGTATACTATAATACGTATATATATCACGGGGGTATAAATTTACGAATAAGTTTATTCGGACGAGGACGAGAAATACGACCGGGCGAGCATCTCGGAATTACTTCGACTACCGCGTTATATATTATATACGGCCTTTGCCGACCCGCCCAATCCCCGAAGCCTCCTCCGCCGCCGAAACGCAATGAACGTCGCGCGTAAAGTTTCCGACGGCACCCCAATAACTTACACGCCGAGGGAAACCCATCGCCGACCGACCTTTTGCCGGGTGTCGTATACGCATTTCTATATATTATACTCAAAGGCCGCATGTATATATATAGGTAGAGATACCTATATAACACTGCGCACCACCATCTCCTCGAGTACCTATATATATAGCGTCGGAACGAGACGATGTCGTTATAATATAGAATTCGGCGGAAAATGCAATCGTACGTGAGGGCGCCGTCGTCTGTGCCGGAGTCGTATTATGGGAGTCCATACATACATGTTTTTAAATGATATATTAAGTGTGCACTGTATCGTGTATCGTATATAATATATATTTATAAGCGTGCTGCTGATGTCTGTATAAGACCATATTATTATTATTATTATTATTATGGTGTGTACATTTCAAAGAACGATCCAATTATGTGATGTCGTTTATTTGAACACCTTCAATAGCGTATTTGACGCCTGAGTAACTGCATAATATTAAACACCTCGACGATGGGCATCGTTGCCGTTTTATTTGATTTTTCTGCAATTATCGCGTCTTCTACTAGTCGTTCGGTTGCCGGTGTACGACTATACCTATAGTTGTAAATTGCAATTTATATGATTAACTTTTATTTACCACGATAATCGAATCCGAAAATCCGTGCAGTTATCTCCTCGTTACACACACACACACACACCAGTTTTTTCTGTAAAAACAAATTGCCCCGACTTTAGGGCACGAATGTCTTACGCACTAAAAATAACTGTTGGTGTCCATCACGTCGTATACACTCGTACCTACTCTTAGAAATAGTAAAATTAACACTAAAAAGTGATAATTGAGTGCCTTAATTAATAGTATTTCATATAAATCAATTAATAAAGCGAAAAAAAAGAGATTTTACAAATATTGCCATATGTTGTAAATGTCTGTACAATAATATATTTGAAATTTCAAAATACAAACAATGAGGGGAATATAATATGTGATGTATTGGAATATGCTCATAAATAATTATTATAACGGTAGGTATATGTTCGTCGTTTATGTTTGAATCGAGTATGATATACCTATACTGTTAGCCAACACATTTTTACCTAATTTAAATTAGATATTAGAATTTAGAGAAATAATAGAAATAGTTTGATACACCATCGATAGGCAAAAAAATGTCAATCTCATTAATAATAATATAGGAATATAGAATAGTTTTAATATTACCCGAGCCCAGTATTTATGACGTTGGTATAATACACCGACCGCCACAACGATGTCGCCGATTGGCAATTTTCGGCTGTGTATAAATTTATAATATGGGTTATAACTAAATATGTACCTATATAATATACCATAATATTATATATAGTATACACAATAAATCATTTGGCGACCACTCGTCGCGTAATACAATACGCAATCACGACTGTTGTGCAATCCCATTTCCATCATCCCTCCGATTCTCTGGTGCGTATATCGCACACCCAGAAGAAGAACGACACAACTCAAAATTTGAACAATTTGAGTTAAGTGCATATTCTAAAAATTCGTATTTTACTGATCGAATAGCTAAAACGACCGAAGTCAAATTCATATTAGTATTTGTCTGAGACGTACTTACGACGTTTTACACTTTTATATGTAATAAATTATTTTTAGTGAAGACCGGCTTAACTCAGATAAGCCGTTTTATCTATTGCACTTTGAAACCAATTATATATAGTTGGGTCGTTCTACGATATCGAATAATATTGTAGATTGGACAATAAGCTCAGTACACACACAAGAATATTATTATTAGATTTAAAGTTGAAATTTGTTAGGTAGATAGGTATGGAGAATAGTATATTATTCTCAGTGATCGTCGTTCTGTCAAACTAACCGATCGTTATTACGCGTGTTCTGGCTGTTTATAATATTATTATAAAAGTGTGTTTTTTTTAAATAAAATGGAAAGTGAAAGTTCTGATGATTTTTTTGAAGATAGTGGTAGTGACTGGACCCCGTTAAATGAGATTGAATATGATTCAATATTAGCTTTTAATAGCGATGAAGAAAATGTACCACCAATTGAAAAAAATCATGAATCGGATTTACCTGATGTTAATATTATTCCAGCCACTTCTTCATCTTCAGATTTGGAAGAAGTTAACACACCGACTAGAAAACGTAAGCGTTTGACCAAAAAATGGAAGAAAAATGTCATGCGTAAAAATAAAAATTCAGGATTACAGTACGAAAATTCTAAAAATCAACTTATTGATGCTAAATCTATGCGAGGCCCATGTAGTACGAATTGCAGAATTAAATGTACGAGTAAAATAAATGAAGAGCAAAGAAAATGTATTTTCGAAGATTTTTGGAATCTAGCAGATTTATCAAAACAGCGTGACTTTGTAAGTAGGCATATAGACGAAATTAATCCAAAACATCGATATGCGATAGCAGGTAGTTCAAGATCATTGAACTATGGTTTTTTTTTTAATATTAATTCCACACGAGTGAAAGTATGTAAAACTTTTTTTTTGAATACGTTAAGTATTTCAGATAGAATGATACGAACTGTTAAAGAAAAAATGAAAAATGGTTTTCTAGACGATGATTTTAGAGGCAAACATAAGAAACATAAATCACTTGATTCAAATATCAAACAGTCGATACAAAAACACATAGAACTTTTTCCGACAATTGAGTCACATTATCTCAGAAAGCAGACTACAAGAACTTATATTGCTGGAAATTTAAATGTAGCAAAAATGTACAGAATGTACGTCGAATATTGTAAAGAACAAGGTATGCAAAAATGGTCTAATCTCGCTATGTATCAACATATTTTTAATTATAATTACAATATTGGTTTTTTTGTACCAAAAAAAGATCTATGTAATACTTGTGAATCATACAAAAACACAGAAAATAAAATTGACGAAATAGAATTATTGCAAAATCTTCATCTTTCTGAAAAAAATGCTGTTCGTTTGGAAAAAGAAGATGATAAACAAAAAGCAATCAATGGTTTTCAGTTTACCGCTTGTTTTGATTTACAAGCTATATTGATTGCACCTGACGGTGAAGTATCAAGCTTTTATTACAAAAGACGATTAGCAACATACAACTTTACAGTTTATAATATGAAGAACGGAGAAGGAACGTGTTACGTCTGGAATGAAACAATAGCAAACCGGGGTGCAAATGAAATTGGTACTTGTTTATTGGATTTTATACGTAGTGAATTTAATGGTACTGAAAATAATTTAGCAGATATAATATTTTATTCTGACAACTGTTCAGGACAAAATAAAAATAAATTTATTGCATGTTTATATTTATACGCATCATTAGTATTAAATATCAATACAATTCGTCACAAGTTTCTAATCGTGGGCCACACACAAAATGAAGGAGACTCTATGCATTCAGTAATAGAACGTCAAAAAAAATTGGTACTCCGAAGTGGCCCGATCTATGTACCGTCTCAATGGGTAGCAGTCATTAAGTCAGCAAAACAAAAAGGAAAACCATACACCGTAAAAGAAATGTCTACTGAAGATTTTTTCGATTTTAAAAATTTAAGCAAAGATATCGGTACAAATTTTAACATGGATGTAAATGGTAAAAAAGTTGTGTGGAATGACATCAAAGAAATTCGTGTCGACAAAGCAAATCCATACACATTGAAACTAAGAACATCATTTAACAATACGGATTACCAAATAATCAAGGTGATTATAATTTAAATTTAAAATAAATGTATTAATATAATAAAATCCAAAGAACTTATTTTTTTAAATTGTATATTATTTATTAGGTTAGAAGAGAAACACGAAATAGCAATTTCAACAGTTTGGTACTCAAAAGAGCTTACAACTGTCCACCTGAAATAAGTGCAGCGAAAAAATCTGATTTGCTAGACTTGTGTAAGCAAAATTTAATACCCCAACTATATCATAGTTATTTCAATAGTATTATTTAAATTTTAAACATGGCATTTTATGACTTTTTGTATTGTACAAATTATTTATATAAATATAGAAAACATTTATAAAGTAAACGTTTCCGTATTACAAATACTAGTTATGTAACATACTGATAAATCAAATTTTAAATGTTGTTACATGTTTGCGTATAATAATCTATTGGTGAACCATATGTATACGAGTAATTTTATGTTATTTAATTTTTGTTGATACCGTACTGTATAATTATTATTGAGTTGTGTTCTTCTTTGGGGTGCGATATATACGTGATGATATACTACTACAATAATACCGCGTACTATGGTTATTCGCGATAAATGAACTCGGCGATATTATTATTATTGTTGTTATTATTATTATTAAATTATTATTATAAATCGCTGCAGGTGGCTATATAATGTATACAACGGAGCTAGGGTGAAGTGGTCGGCGATAAATATTCTAGAACGTTATATATTATTATTATTATTATTATATAGAAATCGGAACCGCCGTCGTTAAAATAATCGTTAACAATGATTATTGCCGCGGCCATTTTACCGCCGTTACGCCGGAAAGGAAATAATCCGCTGTACATCGTCTATGTCCCCGCGATTGGACGGCGGATACGCAGAAGGCCCGGTTGTAACGAAACGGATATCCTTTGAATGGCCCTTAAACGTACAATACTAATTTAACGATTTATCTCGATGCCCTTTCTGCCACCCCGTCATAACCCATCACCACACTGGCTATAGGTTACATACTATATAATATAAATTACACATTTTAATATACATTTAGGTATACCACCTCATGAGTCATACTCGTTAACACAAAATATAATCGTTATACAGCCGATAACACACATTACACGTCATTGACTAAACCCGACAACATTGAGCTCACTGCAGCGAGACGTTGTGACAACTATATAATTAGGGCTGTGATTTTACGTAATTTTTTTCTGGAGTTTTAAGTCATAGTTCCAGGAAACAGTGTTTTATAGTAAAACTGATGATTTTATTATAATTTTTATTTTTCCTTTATTGGAATTTTTCAAGTTTTAGAGCATGTTTCACAAAATAAAAATATTCCAATTATTAGTAAATAGGTAATATAATATATTTTAAGGATCGATTGCCAGATATTATAAAAGACAAAAGTGAGTCATATAGGTGAAATATACATTAATAACACTCATCGACCGCCGTTCTCATTTCTACAAATAATTAAAGAGGCGTCAACCATATTTCTATATTTTAATTTTTCTTTACTATATCTTACCCTCACAGTCAATCAGTTGGTTTAATATATTCTCGCTTATACATGCAACTCCATTTGCAATTGCGTGTTTATTTTTCTTTTCACAATACATGTCTGGCTGTCTACCTAATTTAAATATTAATATTTAAAAAGCATTTTTTAAATTTAAATATCATTTTTTTTTTTTTACTTATTAGCATTGAGAAATATAATTTTATAGTGAAATCCCAGCCCTAAATGTATTATTAATATAATGGTCACGTACTCACGTGTGTCATTATAATATACCTACGTATAATATTATATTGGTCTTGTGTAGTAATATAAATTGTCGTTAAGTTTCGTGATTGATTTGTTTTGTTTGCACAATACAGGCGAACAGCAAAGCGACATAAACGCACGCATAGGACAGTCGGCGTTTTTACCCTGTGAACTGGAACCCAACAACGTGACCACCGGATTCGAGATGACCACTCAGTGTGGGACAGTTCACTCAGTGAAATGGTACCGAGGAGCTAGCAGGATATTCCTGTATTCCGGTGGGCCTCGCACGACACAGCCTCACCGAGAAGGGTACACCGACCGGTATGACAGGTAAGTCGAACAAAACACCCAGTTAATAATAATAATAATGTAGACTTGACTATTGTATACGAACAACAACCCTGTGTAATAAATTTAACTTTGTAAATATTTATAATAGTCAATAACTGTATTTTGTCGGGTGACCTGTACACCGTTGTTGATTTATATCTTATTGCAACGGTGTACTTAATGTATTATATTTTTTTTTAATTCTAAGCGAAGCGAGAATATTGGTTGTACTTAACGTGAACACCTTTTTGGACGGAAACAGCGCAGTGCTCTAAAAGTTTCACGTAGCACTTTCTCAGACGGAAAATCTCAATGGCACTCGAAAAGTTATTTTTCGATTTTTTTTATCAATAGTACCTATCCCCGCTAAGAGCACAAGAAAAGACTGACAACGAACCGTGACAATTTTAGGAAAAGTGTTATTCAGAGCGAAGGGCGGATTTAATCAATTCGTTTCCCAAATGTGATGATTTATGTTCTTATTGCTTTCAGATATAATATTATAATTCATAACACACCGATACTATTATATTAATCTATAACGCCCAACACTTCACAATCTATATCCCGACACGCTTCGTAGTTCTTAATACGTTTAGACTGCAGGTATAATCTTACGATCCTTAGCCATTCGTAACTCATTTATTTAAACCATGAGCAGGCTGCCGGGAACGTTGTTCTCACAATCTGCGATCTCACCATTATAATTATAACTTAAAATAAAAATATAGGTTGTAATTAGTCTGAGATTTTGATGAAATGTCATTCGTTTTCTGGTGTTTAATAACCCTTAGTTCCGTAAGTGGAAAATATGTTTAAGAGGATCCTGATTATTTTAATTATATTTTTATTCATAGCTTTATTTTGAATTTTTTGACAAATATCAAATTCAACTTTTTGGTGCAATTTTTTTGGCGCACAATTTTGTCCTAAATTTGTATTTAGAACATTTTTAGCAATTTATTTTAGAAGTAAATTTTCATTGTACTACAAAATATATTGTTTCAATAAATCCAACATATATTGGTATAAGTACATAGTCGTGGTCAAATAGTGTCGAACGTATAGTAAATATTATGCAATACTCGTCAGCCACCGATTAAATATACACAAATAATTTAAGAGTTAAGAAGCGACAAAAATGGGTAGGTACATCTATTATAGCTTCTTCTGGAAAAAAAAAACATAACTGTACAACTACCCGATTCCGAAGAGTATATATTTTTTAAATATTGTAAGAAATACATTTTTAGAAATGAATATTTTAAAATGTCCAAGGTATTTTTTGTGATTTTTTAAGGCTCTAAAATCCAAGCCCAAAATCAATTTTTGTAGTATATGTTTATTCGTTAAAGTTCGTAACTCATAAAGTCAACCTTGGTAGTTTTATGTTTATCAGCTAACGCTGGCGGGGCTTTTAATTATGCGGCCCTTTCCGTGTCAACACACAATAGCCGACTAATACATTTAACTGCAGCGAAATCCGCCCGCCGGCCGTCGTATTGGCTATCAACATTGGTAGACTAATGCGCAAACCATCGACAAATCGTCGCGTTTATCCATCCGGTATACCCTATACAGCAACTATATATATACACCAAAGTTATGGCTGTTCCACATTAAAAACACCAATATATACCTTATACACGATTGTTAATTGTATTATGATAAAAGATTTATGTTGTTTTGATTTATCTTACCGCCCACAATGTTGACTGCAATTTGTTTTGATTATAAAACTATATTACGTAGGTACCTATAGATTTTTTAGACATAAAACACGCGCCACTGATTTAACGATGTTGCACACTATACGCATAGCTAAAGCCTGGGAATCGTATTTTTGTAATTTTATTAATTGTTTTACGATATTAGTTTTCAAACAGTAATCAAAATAGTATTTCACCAATACTATAAAAGACAAATGCTGAAATACATATCAAGTTATTGAACATAAATTATTAACTTTCTGAATTAAATACTAACTAGATATTAGGTACATGTTAACTAACCGTTAATATATTTTCGCTTTAAACAAACCTATTATTGGGCGTACATTTTAAAGTCCATCTTAATATTATAAATAAAAATATAAACAAGAAAAGGGGGGAAAGTAGGAAACTACTTTGATGTACAGTAGGAGTTGAGTGTACATCGTCATTGAGTAGGTCACTGTAGGTAATCGTTACAGTGTACTTAATGGATGTGTCAAATTTGAGTTGAATAATTAATCATTTCATACTAAAATATAACGATTTTGAGAGATGTTTCAAATCCCCACCAGAAATATTTTTTAATTACAACAAAATAACTATAATAGTTATTTGTCGTTTAAATATCGAATTTCGTTCAAATTTGAACTCTGATTCTTAAAATAAAAAACGTACCTATATAATATTATGTATGTTAAATATTTTTAAATGGCTATATAATAAACACTCATAAAACTATAAAAAAAAATAAAACATATAAAACTATATAACCATGTTATAATTTTTCAAATGTTTTACCAAGCTGAATTATGTTTATCGAAGGTATTTATAGAAAAAATACTAAAAAACTATAGTAATGTCTATAAATAACTCAAAAAGAGTCAAAATATTTTGTAAATAATACTAGGTGTGAGGTCCTTGAAGTTGGCCTCACAATGTCAAAATGTTGTCAATAATTTGTAAGTCATTTGTAAGTATTTGTAAGCACAATTTAGTAATTTGTAAGTATAGCTGTTTTCAATTATCCTCAAAAGTTTAAATCACGGCTAACTTCCGCGAAACTTGGCCGTTTTGGCATTTCAAAGTTTTTGACTGCTCCAAATCGTCATGCGTAATTTGTAAGTATTTATTATAAGCATGAATTTAGAATTTGTAAGTCATCACTTCCTTAATTATCTCTAAAAGGAAGTTGGTGGCCGTTCTATGTCGAGTTTTTTGAACTTTGACTGTTCCAAATCATCCTGGGATGACTTACAAATTCTAAATTCGTGATTACCAATACTTACAAATTTCACATGACGATTTGGAACAGTCGACAATTTGAAATTCCAAAATGACGAAGTTTCGCGGAAGTTAGCCCTGATTTAAACTTTTGAGGATAATTGAAAACGGCTGTACTTACAAATTATAAAATTGTGCTTAGAAATACTTAGGTACAAATGACTTACAAATTATTGACAAAATTTGGAGCTAACTTCACTGACCTCTAGGTGTGTGTGTGTAAATTGATAATATAAAAATGTAACAAACATTTCAAGTATTTACAATTATTCCTTTTTGATTTACAACAAAATAAGAATATCGTTTGATGAGAAATCGTTATTTTACGCATAAATATTTTATTTCATTAAAATTTAAACTTCATTTGCATAAAAAATATTTATGGAACACTCTCAACTTTTTTTTTAAACCAACCTAGTAATAACAACTATGAAGAACCTTGTATTACATTTTCAAGGTTGTTGACAGACCGAAATTTTTTCATCGACATTTATAGCAAAAAACATAAAACATGCTAAATGTCTATATTTAGCTCAAAAATCTTAAAAATATTATCATGTGTGTATAAAATGCTGATACAAACATTAGAAAAAAATTTCAAATAATATCTTTGGTTATTTGTTTTTGAGTTATACCAAAAAAGTGAAAAAACAAAATTAAATTTTCTAAAAACTGGTAAAAAATTCCAGTTTTTCCTTTGACCCTTAAAAGTGCAATGTCGATACAATTTTCTATCAGCGACCTTACTCAAATTTGTAGATCAAATAATGTTTTTACCAAATATCTCTTACCACTCAGTCTTAAAATTTAACAAAAGAATGGTAATTTATATTATCCTAGTAATAGTATAAGTACCTTCAGTTTTCTATTTTTAAAATAAACACTCAGATTTGATGGATACTTTCACAAAATTAAAAAAAAATTTAAATAGATAAACTTGAAAAATATACTCAAAATGTGCACTATAATATATCAAATGTATGCCCCTATAGAAAAATTCATCAAAATATGCAAATATTTATGCAACATAAAACTTTGCATACGTTCTTTAAAGTTAATAAAACAAATTTCCATCTAACTTTGAAAGTAGTATACTAACTACTAAGTTAGAAAAAAAATATACATAAAAATCCACCCTTTAATAATTACATAGCATTATGTATACTTAATTTTTATACGTAATTTATTTGATACCATATGTATTCATTATTATTTAATTTCATATTGTATTCATATTAGCAAAGCTACATCTGGCAGAATATAATATGCATTACATATTACTTGATAGCATAGTTATATTCTTTTTAACTTTATTTTTTTAAATGGCAACACTTAATGAATATATTAATATACAACGTACTTACTCGTAATTCGTAAATAATAGGTACCTACTTAAGTATTGTAATGGACAATAGTTCTTAAAGTTTTTTTTTATTATATTTTAATCACATAATATCGTATTCATGAATCATGAGCACATTTGCATAAGTAGTTTTAGGAAGTTTTCTGCAGTTTTTCAGAAAACTGCAAATTAAACAGTTGATCTTATAAGTATTTTTATATTTAAACGGTCTATAAAAAATTTAATTTGTAGGTTGGCCATTTTGTTCTAGTTTAGAGAATAAAAATTCTAGTCTCAAAACGAATTGTTAAGACGATTAAATAGAAAAAAAATTGATTAAGTATGTGATTATGTGAGTGTAAATTAATTTTCAAAAATCATCGATCATTTTTGACCTCAATTCATAAATTTAGAATTAAAAATATTCTTGACATTTGTTTGGTTTTATCTTTATAAGATTTTAATTTTATAATTAACTTATATAAATATAATACAACTATACAAGAATATTTTTGGCTCCAAAAACAGATGTTGTGTGATATTACTAGATGAATGATGATTGCGTTATCTCATGAACCAATTACCTATATCAGATTTAAAAATGACTAGCGAGTGCCAAGCACGCAACATCATACACATATGCAAAAAAAAATGCACTTTTTGCT